AGATTGACAAATTCAAGCGAGGTCCTCTTGTGAGTCGGAACCTAAAGCTTGTGGCTAGTAGGAACGATATTGACGAGGGCAATCACCCAAGGCCCTCCTTGGACTTGAACATTGAAGTTGCGCACCGAGACGTTGACACCACCGTAGATTCGACCTTACATGATTTGCATTGTAGGACGCTTTAGTTAGTTCGTAGCTGAATGCCAGCCATGTATGATAATTTCAGAACAAGACAAGGTCAAGATAAGCCTGAGGGACAGCTTAGACGGGGGTGACACTTGGAGGCGCCTTTGGAGTGCTCCGCTGATATTGGACACATAAAGCTTGGCCTCATCCCGGACATGGATGACCGAGTTTAAATTGTTGGACTAGAGCGAATCCCGGTGGTAGTAGAGAGTCTCGTAAGCTTCGACAGGCGTCTAGAAACGGCCTGGTTGTAGACATAGCGGTCTTCGGGTCCAGTGGCGGTTGCGCGGTACGACTTGACGATCGAGATACCTTCAGCTGCATCAGAATTCGTTAGCTTTGCTATAAAGTTTCTATAGAAAGAGTGTTTACAGTATGTGCTTACCCATAACCCGAATCTTCAGGGGTTGCTAGCTTCATCGGCGGCTAATCCCGACTTGCAATACCCGGTCCTTAAGCAGGACCTATAGGTTGTGAAGTTACTCCTTCAGTACCAGTTGTGTTGTACCTGATCGGTATTTGGGTTGGTAGAGTCATAATCTCGTTTCGATATGAGCCGGTGGCGGGAGAGCTCAGAACGCCTTCGTTCTAAGTTGAGAAAAGGGGCTCCTGGAGCTCAACGTATGGGATTGCACAATCGGTCCTTGCTGTCGATACTTTTGCCGGCTAACCTTCGCGGGTCGTCCTGTATTCATCTGGCCATTAGTATCCATTTCAATAAATGGTCTTTGTGTACTCACAGAAACTTGGTTCATCCTATTGCCCCCGTATTATTAGTGTCAGATCGGTTCCATTTGTTCTCGCAGCATCTTCTCAAAAAGTTCCGTGCCCCTTTTTCTAAGTCATTGGCCGAAGAAAGATTGTCGATTCTCGTTCTAATCTGTTTTCATACCAGATAGGGAAGGCCGAGGAAGCTTTCACAAGACCTATGGACCAGCTTTTGGATAAACCAAATCTGAACTAATTTCGTGAAGCTCGGGGCCGTTTCGTGCCAAGGACAAGTCTTCACCTTTGACTTGTGAATAAAAACTGTTGTGGAAAACCATTTCCAACCCCATTGGGCTCGTGAGCTGTTGGTTCGCGTGTGGAAACACTGTCATGCCCCAAAAGGTCAGCGGTCTTCTTGTTGAACGGCGACCGTCACAAGTCCACCACTTCGCAAGCGCATTCGCGGTGAGGTGGTGGCGTTGTAAGTCTCGGTCGTGTACCAAGTGCTCAGTAAGATGAAGCTCCGGTGAAGTGACTTTGTATTGAGCCGTGTTGGGCCGCGCAGTACGATGCTCGACATTTCGCTCCTTAGTACTCAGGCTTTGTCTCCCAGTTGAAGGGAAGGATGGCAACAAGTAGTAGATATTCACATCTCGTAGAAGATGCTCGGATCCTGACGCTGGATTGGCTCACGGGTTGGAACAATGGAGAGCTCTTGCGGGCTGGGGGGAGGCGGCGCTCATCGGACAGCATGACGGTTGAGAAGAATGTTGTATAGCGCATTTCAACCGGTAATTGCCGCTTGTCGTGAGTCTTTGGGTTGCAAAGACATGGAAAAGTCTCAGGTGGCAGCCAGATCAGTGGTAGCGCCATGAGATCGCACTTCTTCTTGTGGTGAGACTCATGAACGGATCGACGCGACACCTGTCAGTGCTATGTTTACCATTGGTCCTCCCCACTGAGAAGTTCAGAAAAGAGACTGTTGTCCACCAACTTCACGGTCTGGCATGCCAAATCAGAGTCTTCAAGACCCAGGTCCAGGACCGGATCGCCCTCATCCAGATCCTTGAGCAGGCCCCAGGCTGTCAAGCAACGCATCTTCACTATGGAGTTCCATGAAATAACGATAAATTTTCCATTATAAGCTCGCCGTGTGTGGGGATATTCGATAGTGTTGGTCGTACGTGTTGTGTTTTCTGCGCATGTGTAGGTTCATGACCTCTGGTCCATGCCATTTCTTGGCCTCTTCTGTGGCTCAGGGGAAGACACTGCCGTGGCGACTGATGTGTTTTCCGATGGAGACGCATGGGGTTTCTACTCAAATGTCAATCAAGGAGGCTTGCAAAGTCTTTGGGTGTCTGGACTCGTACCTTGTCACGCCTCAGAACAAGTCAGTGACCAAGGTGCCACACTGCGTACCACTTCCCTGTAACTCGTAGAGGCCTGGCTAGGACACTTTCGCGTGGAAAGCGTACTATCGTACGAGCAAGTCACTTGAGAGACGATTTGAGACGGCGCTCGTCATTTGAAGATTGGACTGCGAAGCTGGGTACTGGAAACGCGAGCAGGTGAGAGTGAGGAGGATAGTGAGAGGGTATCTGGTATCTCGGTGGCGAATAAAAAAGCAAGGAGTAAATCAGAAAAGTCGACATCTTGGATGAGACGCAGAATCGGGTATTTCGGTGATTTTCGTTGTTGATGTTGAAGTTGGTCTTTGACGGTCAACTTGAAATCGAACTTGAGCCAATGTTCTGGTGCACAACTGCCAGTCTTTGAGCCACGACCTTGAACAAAGGTGGTCTTCCATGTCTCAACAACCGCTACAGTACCGAAATAGCATTTACGTTGCAGAAATAAAGCAAGAAATCATATTGACACATTTACAAAATGTCCTCTGAGGGTCATGTCTGATTTTCTATGATAATTCACAAGTGGTGCAGGGTAGCCATCTGCCACTCGGAACCTTGAACCTCACATCTGCATCTGAACAACGTCGCACACGACTACAGTCATGGTAAAATTGCACAAACAGAACCAAGAGATGTGATTATTTTATGTCTAAGTAAGACCGAAATAAAGGAGGACCTCTCGAAGTATTGGAATCGGGTGAATGGAACTCATCATTGCAATTTGTTAATTGACCCCTCACATGGAAGCGGTGGACGTTAGAACTCGGACACAGGGATCGACACCAGCCGATGAGACACAAGGTCGACCATAGCCATAACACATCGCTCTCACTTTAGTTGTGATACACGGACAACACGGCTGAAGGCAGCATAAGTGGAATATTCAGCTTCTACCATTGCCCTCATCTGCCTCCATCGCTGCCAAGCCCCCAATCTGCTCGTACACAGTAGTGTGCAGATTTTATATGCAGCCCACTTAGATCATCCATGCAACCTCACATACATAACACCTCACCTCACACTCATCCTCACACTCACCACATCATAACCCTCACCCTCCCAAACCCGCCATGAAGATCCTCCTCCACTCTCACTTCCCAGCCGGCCATGCCTACCCAATGCAAGCCGTAGCCCAATCCCTCATCCGCCGCGGCCACCAAGTAACATGGCTCACCAGCGCCTCCAACGAAGCCCGCGTCCTCGCCGTAGGCGCAACATTCGTCCCAACAAGCGCCATAGCCATCATCGACGAGCCCCTCATCGCCGCTAATGAGACTGGTATTCTCGACAAGGAGTACTCGCGGCTTCAGATCAGGCTTCTGGCGCAGGTGACGGATTACCGCCGGGTGTTGAGGGACTTTAAAGCAGATGTTCTGCTCGTCGATGTGATGCCGTATGGAGCGAGGGCTTTGTGTGAACTGGGTGAAGTTCCGGTCTATGCGACGCTGGGGGTAATTCCGATGTACATGTCGAGTTGGGGAGCGCCCCAGGCTGTTTCGGGGGAGGGTCCGGCGACGACGTGGGTTGGGTTGATCTGGAATCATATTCTTCATCTTATTAGCCAGTGGATTCTTCTGCCGTTGCTTTTGAGGCCGATCATAAATGCCCAGAGGAGGGAATTGGGCTTGAAGGACTTGCCGTATGGGGAGCCGATCGAGGCTTTCACTTACAGCCCCTATCTTCATATTCAAGCGTCGTCGCCGTCGCTGGAGTTCAAGTTACTGCCGAAGCCGCCGCAACAGCGGGAGCACACTAAGTTCGTTGGACCGGTAGTAACCCAAGTGCCGACCAGTCTTGCCCAGCTCCCCCCTGAGTGGGATGAAATAGTTGCACATCCCCGTGTTGTTGGTATTACCCAAGGTACTCTAGCCATGGATCCAACATCCTTGATCATACCCGCGATCGAGGCGCTCTCTGATGATCCAGATCTGCTTCTTGTAGTAGCTTCGCCACATGTAGAAGAGATCACATCGAGAATAGGGGAACCGCCAAATGTGCGCTTCATCAGATGGATACCGTACCATCTCTTCCTCCCACAGCTCTGCCTCCTCATCACCAACGGTGGGTACGGAAGCATAACACAGGCACTGTCGCATAAAGTGCCACTGATCTGCGCTGGGCAAACAGAGGATAAGAAGGACACAGCAGCGCGGGTCAGCTGGGCAAGAGCGGGCATCGATTTGAAGACGGATAATCCATCTACGGAACAGGTTCGAACGGCGGCGAGGACGATACTGGACGATCCAGGGTTCGTGGAGAGGGCGGGGCATCTGGGCGAGGAACTCAACGAACTTGGGGGTGCGGAACGAGCTTCGGAGCTTTTGGAAGAACTGGTAGAATCTAGAGCAAGATAAACATCAGCGGTTGTCAAATAGAAGACTTGGACGAGCTGGAAAGTGAAGATATTGCCGAGTGACAGATGGACAGGCTTGGGCAGAAGTAACACAGAAGAAACACGATCACGAGCACATCAAAAGATTTAGAACGAGATTCGATTCATTGCTAGAGCCTAATAATCCACCAGTCCGATTCCATAAATCCGCCGCCGATGATGATCATATCATGATAATAACATCCTTTTTTTTTGGTTACAGGTGACATGCCCTGTGAATCAGATCCTGGAGAAGGTCAGTAAAGGACGACGACTTGAGACAACACTCTTAAGGTTCGAGGTGACTTACTGTAAACATTTCAAAAATGGCTCGTAGAGATCTTACTCGAGATACCGACTTGGGTATTGGTGCATGTTGCTTAGAAGACGAAATCGTCCTCGCGCCAGGGCCAAGCGAAAGCCATGGGCCAGCGCTCGACGATCAGGGGCCATCCCCAGGCTCGGAAGACGAGAACCAAGACGAGGATGAGAATCCACTCCTGGATGTGGATGGTGATACCAGCGCCGCCGGGAAGGGGAATGTCGATAACGATGACCATGTTGAACAGTTGGAATGAACAGAGATTTGAAGAGTGTCTTGCGGTAGATGAAGAAGTAGTGCTTGAAGTGCAGGGGAACGCTTGGAAGAGCTGAGCAGCAGCGACGAGGTTAGTTTTTACTGTTCAGGTTGTGTTCAGGGGAAGAAGAAGAACATAAAAAGAACGTACCAGAACAAATGTTCAAATGCTTACAGCGGTAGATAAAGTGCAGTCAGAACACGAAAAATGAGGAGAGTGAAATTGTTTGTGCGGTGGTTGTGGGAGGTAGAAAAAGAGCAGGAGGGGAAGAAGTGGGAGTGTTGCCTTAAGGTAGTGGGAGGAGCGGGAGCGCGAGGGCGGGCACCCTCTGAAGGGCCAGTGCGAGAGACAGCGGTACAGAACCTCCGGTACATACGGCATAGAAGTGCGAGGAAAGTGCACAGAGGGTATTTACGACTTGACGAGACGATTCGACTACGAATATATTGTGTTTTTCGATATCACGGACGAGCTACGACGATCCTGCACTCGAGTGCATCCTTCGAGACGATTCCCAGGCACGAAACTGGATGAAGCAGGACGGTTTTGGTCTCAAATGACATGCAATATACATCAGATAGTCCTCAATATGATCTATCCTTCGTATCAAGTCTTGTATTTGCCGTGTGGTGATTTGGCACCAATGTGACTGTCGAGCTGTCGCCCGCGTGTTTTCGTTGCTACACTCTCTAAGCCCAACACAAGATGAAGCAAGATGATTTCGGTATCAAATAGCATGCAATATTTATGAGATAGTCCTCAATATGATGTGTCCTTTGTATCCATGCTTGTATCCCCTGTCTGGTGGTTTGGTGCTGATGTGACCTTCAAGCTGCAATGATCTCGCATCCGAGTGATTGACTGAACACGATTCCCAAGCACAACAGAAGATGAAGCAAGACGATGTAGTCCTCATGTAGTGTGCAGCATCTATAATATCATCGTCTACGTAGTAAATATCTTGTATCTCGTTCTGCGCCATCCCTGCGGTGGTTTTGCTACGATGCCACAGGCGGACTACGATGCGAGCGAGCCACCAAAGCAAACAACAAGATGAAAGGAGGCGACGGAGTTCTCAAATAGTGTGCAGTATTCGTAATATCATCCTCAAACAAAGAAGCTCGTCTAATTCCGTCTCGAGTCCGCCATGCATGTTGTTTTGCTACGACGTTCACTGGCGAGGCGAGATGCGGTCAAATCACCAAGGAAACCAAGAGAACATTCACGAGAAACAACGATGCAAATGCCTGGATGATTTAATGAAGCAGACTGTAGTAAATCTCAAGATATCTACGAGTGACATGATCATCTGTAGAGGCGTATCAGCGTCACTCGAGCAACTGCGCGAGACGTCGAACCCAACCGCCGAAGCAATATCCCGCGATACCTCACACACTTCCCGCGAGTGCAAAGACCTCCTCTATTGCATTGCACATTCACACTACACACGCAATGCTCCCCTCTACGCGGACATCACAGCATATCACCATGGCAAACTACAAAGTTAAACAACATCACAACACCACATCAGTCACAATCAAAGCAAGTTTTCTTCTTCGAGCCAAAGCATATAGCTATGAACCCAATGAAAAAAAAAGGTGGTTGTCCATGGACGAAATCAAAAATTGTCCCAGGCCGCTGCAAGGCGGGCTTTGTGGTACTCATCTACTGCCATAAGACACGATGATTCCCAGCTCTCAGGCTTCATGATCCCCGAGAGTCACTGGGGTTGTTTGGCATGAGCAGAAGAGAAAAAGAAAAGAGGTCTGGCCTGGGGAGGAAGGCAGGTTTATATACCCAGGATCACGGGCGGTGAGGGGCCGAGTGATCTGGGAGGGGGCAGTATCCCAGCTGCAGATCGGACGAACCAGCGGGGACGTGCGATCTGACAGCTGGTGACGTGCAGCGAAAAGCTCCGCTGAAAACGGGAAGCAGGGGACCGTTGGGTAGTGGCGCGGGGCGGTTGGACGTTATATCAACGACGAGGCCGGACACTCAGCTGTGATCTTGCGACCACGCACAATAGGAAAAATGGTGCACCATTTTTGCGAAGATGGAGCATTTCTTAGCTTCTGAGAGATATTTTTGAAGGTATTTTTAATTGTTGTTGTGGTTGCCCTGAGTATTTTCGGGGGTGTGTTTTGAGCCTCATCCGCGTCCACGGGCAAGGGGGGTTTTGGGGAGCGGATGCGTCATTGGGTGGTAGTTGCACCACAACAACAGAGTGAGTGACTTGGAGATGTAGCCACTGGTACTTCATTGTGAGATAATCGATGTCGACAGCAGTGATGCAAAAATGAATGAGTGTTCGTAGTGTGCATGCATTGAGGATGGTGTTGACTACGAATCTACAATATGGAATTACATTATTTACAAGAGTGATGAATGTTCAGAACACACATAGAAGTGTTGAAATGCATCAAGGACTTTCGCACAATATTTACAAGATGCATGGCCTCGAGGTGGTTGAGAATTCGCAGAGTGGCTTGGCTTCTTCAGGAGAACCAAGCTTGGCGAGGCGAGAAGTCTACCAAAGCTTGGGACATTTTTGGCCCAAAACACAGCAAGTCTTGACCAATATGAATGCAGCACTGAAGGAATTTGGACCGAATTGCCCAAGTTCAACTTGGAACCGTGCCAAGTCATAAGCTCCCCCCCCCTTTCATTGGACGAGCTCGTCGAGGCAGATTTCCTCTGCGCTCTTCGTGGTTCCACAGACGAGGGGAATTAAATCGAGGGCAGTGTAAATTATGTGATCGGCTCGAGAGGCTCTCAATATTTCTGCACCTCGAGAACCCACTTGCCAGTGAATCAAGGTCCTCGCTCTCACTCAGGGCTCGGGGCTCTGGCCCTCGCCTCGCTGTTATTGTCCCAGGCAACCTCGAGCTCTGCGCGCACACAGAATCAGCTGGACCCACTCTCGTTGGTATTTAATCCATCTTCGGTTCCCTTGATCTCTCTCTTCCTTCTTCCTCCTTTCCTCTTCAGCTCCAACACCAACATCTTTACCCTCTCCTCCCACCAACATCTTTATCCTCCTCTCACCAACATCTCTATCCCTCCTCACTCCACCCACTCTACTCTATCTCCACCATCAGTCCTCATCACCTGGACACACAACGGCCCCTCGACCCTCAAGCCACCGTTCGTTGACACTCAATATGTCCAATGCAGCACTTTGCCCGCGGCTTTGTGGGGTTGGGGATTGGACTCACATCCAAGACCCAATCCAACGAAGTCCTGCGCAGAGTGTTGCCTTGGGCATATTGAGTTGTCTTTGGTCGGCGTGGGCGGAGTAACTCCCTCCCCAGGGAGTGCCCGAGCCATCCGTGGCTCGGTGACATGGTAAGTTTCAATTTTTCTCTGATCGTCTCATCTCATCTCTTCAACCTCTCTTCGCTCTTCTTTTCCTCATCTGTTCTCTTTCCTTCATCGCAACCTGTGGTAACTCACACCTGCCCTCAGCCGCCGTCGCCAAGGCCAAGGCCGCCCACGAGGAGCGACTCGCCCAGGTCCAAGGTGCGCAAGATCTTTGCGAAGATCAAGATCCGCCGCCGCCGCCAACGTCGCTCACGAGGTGGTCGGGCTTGTCAGTCTCGAACGAGTGTGCAAGGTATGTTCTTCACACACGATATTAGCAGCTTGACTCTGACCCTTTGTAGAATATCAGTCAACACCTTGACTGCCAGCATGGGCAACATGTCTGTGCAGCAAGGCCCCCGTGGCGTCGACCGAGGTCGCCACCAGAGCTTCTTCGCTCTCAACGCCCCGCAGGGGAACCCCTTCGCGGCAGCTGGAGCTGCTAGTGTTCCATTCCCACCCAGAATTCAGCAGCAGCCCTTCACAGGGCAGTATTTTGGGCCTCCAGCAGGTCTCGAACGAGTGTGCAAGGTATGCTCTTTTGACACGAAACTGGCAGCTCGACTCTGACTCTTTGTAGAATATTCATGGACAACACATTTGCCCTCGGCATTCCCTCTGCATCCAGCGATCTCATTCACGATGGGAAAGCCGCCAAGATCAAGTTCAAGGTGCGCAAGTTCTTTGCGAAGATCAAGGTCCGTCGACTCCTTGAAAAGGATGCCAAAGCGGCCGACATGACATGCTCGCCTCGGGCCCTGGTTGCGTTGGAGTCACAGCTCGTCCGATTGTGCGAGATCTGCACTGTATGTCTTGGTTTGAACGGTGTTCAAGTCAATGCATACAGTGTCGAACTTGCACACTCGTTCGAGCTGCGACTCCAACGCAACCAGGACTTTGATGGCTAAGCACAGTTGACACACACACACACTCTTCACCGCACTCATGGGAACGCCTGGGAGGATTGACTTGACCGGACTGGACTTGGAATTGGAGTTGGAGTTGGAGTCGGAGTTGGAGTTGGACAGGATACTTGGATACATTACAGAGCTCAATCAAACACTTGAAACTCATCTTGACTTCTACTCTGATACTCATAAACTCGTGCACTTAGTAAATGCTAATCTGAATGCTTTGTAAATTTGCAGTGAAACTATGATGGAGGCCCGGGGTGAGGCATGAAAACTTGAGACCTTTGTCCTACGTGATAAAAAGATTTCAGTCACGATTCCGCGGAAATGAGCGGCAAGCATTCGATTGAGCTGTGTACGAGAGGCAAGATACCTAAATCTAGGGTCTCCTGAAGGATCAAGAAAGCATAAGACTCTAGAAGAGATCAAATAAACTCAGTAAAGTCCCTCCTAAGCTTAGACTGAATTACCCAAGTCAATGACTACCAGGTCATCTTCCACGTCAATCAAATCCCCCGCTTGCACCAAAACAGCCAAGCATTTTCCGCCGGCAGGACTGCGAATCTCAACTTCCATCTTACTCGACTCAATACAGACTAGAACATCACCCTTATCCACAGCACTCCCTTCTTTCACCATGACTTTGTAACATCGACCCGGCATCGTCGCCCTGACTCGTTCACCATGAAGACCCGAACTATCCAGACTTGGACTGTGTCCATTGACAACAGATTCCACTTGATATGGCAGAAGCAATTCATCGACAAAGGGTGCAGTCGAAATGGCCCTTGCTTGTTGGTCCGCGGCAGTGGCGATGTCTTCTTTGTTCGTTGTAAGCCACGTTTCGTACTGTTCAAGATCGAGAACACCATCACTGATCTGAACAAGCTCAGACCTCGGTGTTCCGTCTAGCGCCGCTTCAGTGACGGGATAAAACGAAATCCTGTCAAAGCGTCGAAAGAACCAAGCTTCAGTGTCGACAAGGTCAGCATCCCAGATCTCAACGGTTCTCCCAACAAGCTGATAACCGCCAGGCGAATCCGTTGCGTAGATACACATATACTGCCCCCCGATACCAACGGCACCACGAGGTGTGAAAGAGCGCGAAGGATTGTACTTTGTTCCGAACAAGCGATGGCGTGGATCCAAGGGGATTGCACACGGCGAGCCCATGAACACATCACCGAGACCAAGGACTACGAACTCCGCGGCGCTCAAGACTTTGGTCAAATCGGAGATACCGTTGAGCTTTTGGAGGAAGTCGATGTTACTGGGAAGCCAGGGTGCGTTTGGGCGGATTGTTGCTGTGTATCGTTCGATGGCGGCTCGGCTGACACTATCGTCGAATGCTATGGGGAGACGGACGCTCCTTGAAGGCACTTGGGAGGGGACTTTGTACGAGCGGATATGGTCTGCCAAGCGCGCAAGCATCAGTTCCTGGGACAGACCGCGAGTATAGGTGACGTGGAGGCTGAAGACACCGGGGGTGAGTTCTTCAACACCGGAGATGGGGCTTTTCTCATGATTCTCGCAGAACGCTGATATCTCGAAGTTGTGAAGAAGGTTGAAGGCGGAGGTATCACCGAATTCCAACAGAAATGCCCGATCACCGGCTTGACGAATAGTAATCCTTTGACCCTCATGCTCGATGATACCCACCGCAGCGGGAATGCTTTCCAACTTCTGCGCCAGCGACACTTCATCAGATGGAATGCAGTCCAAAGTCTCAAGAGGTGAGAGCGTCTCAATGGCTTCATCAAGCTTCCTCTCTAAACCAATCGCAGTCGCAACATCAATAGGGTCGAAGCGAATCGTATCTCCAGGCCGAACCTGTCCCATCTTCCACAGATCCGCAGAGCACACTACACACAGCACCACGAATCCACCGAGACTCGGACCATCGCAACCCAGAACGACAGCTTCATCCCCCGTGAAACTTACACTACCGATCGAGTACGGAGCATCATGAATGTTGGAAGGATGTAAACCTGCTTCGCCTCCGCTTCTGCGAGACCATTCGGGCTGGGGGCCGGTGAGACGAACACCAAGGCGGTTACTGTTGTGGTGAACCTTCCAGTCACTGAGGTACAACGTCTTGACGCTTTCAGGGGTGAAGTAGTCTGGAGCTCCGTGAGGACCGGGGATGACTCTGATGGTCCATGAGGCCTTGGGGTGAGTTGGCACAGGCACTGGTGATATAGCTTGAGCTTCACTGACCAAGGGATTTGCAGGACCGATGGCGAGGATATCATGCGCCTGGAGCTTACGACCACCGAAGCCCCCAAGCTTTCCAAGTTCGAAAGTTGCTCGACTGCCCATCACGACTGGGACTTCGATTCCTCCTCGAATAGCAAGATATACACGATGCCCATGCTCTACGACACCAATGTTCAGTATCTGACCTGACTTGATACCAATGGCTTGGTTCATGGAAACCGTCATATCATCGATCGTAACTTGTGCAACACCACCAACGGCGGCAATCACAGCATCAAAATGGAACTTCAAAGACGGGCCTCCTAGAGTACATTCGAGGCCAGCGGCATCTAAGGGGTTATCCACGAGACGATTCGCCAATCGAAAGGAGTAAGAATCCATTGGGCCACCGGGAGGGATACCAATGTTCCAGTATCCAGTACGGCCTGGGTAGTCTTGAATTGTAGTCAAAGCCCCAGGCTGAAGGACTTCAAAAGAGGAGGAGCGAAACTGGAAGGAGTCCAAGGATTTAGTCGTATAGTCACCGGACCTGAACATGGGAGATGCAACAATCTGGCGGAGATACTCGAGGTTGGTTTGTACGCCTTCAATGCGAGTGGCTGCAAGGCCTTCGGCCAAGTTCTCGATAGCTTCTTCACGATTAGACCCAGAGGCGATGAGCTTGGCCACCAGAGGATCGAAAGACGTCGTGATCTCGGTGCCAAGTTGGATCCAAGTATCGACACGAAGAGAGGAAGGGAACTCAAGAGCGGTAATACGACCAGCACAGGGACGGAAAGACTGAAGGGGGCTCTCAGCGTATACACGGACCTCAATCGAAGCACCACACACTTTGAGCTCCGTACCAAACAGGCGAGTTGCATTCCCGTCGGCAATGTTGATCATACACTCCACAAGATCAAGACCAGTTACTGACTCGGTGACAGGATGCTCAACTTGCAACCGGGTGTTCACTTCCAGGAAGTAGAACTCCCTCGAATCGATATCATAGATAAACTCAACAGTACCGACATTGCGATACTCGACCGATGAAGCCAACCGAATCGCAGCAGCTCGCATTTCCGCCCGAATTGACTCAGGGACCAAGATCGCAGGGCTTTCTTCAACAACCTTCTGATGGCGCCGTTGCAAAGAGCAGTCCCGTTCACCAGCAGCAATGACACGACCTTTACCGTCTCCGAGAATCTGGACTTCAACGTGGCGAGCCCGTTGGATAAACCGTTCGATAAAAACGCCCCCGTTGCCGAAATTAGCTTCCGCTTGCCGTTGAACGCTCTCGAACGTTGTGGCTAGGCTCTGTCTGTCTTTGCAGTAGCTTAGGCCAATACCGCCGCCACCAGCAGTACTTTTCAGCATCAAGGGGAACCCGATTCGTTCGCTTTCTTTGAGAGCTTCTTCCAGTGATGTGAGAAGGGCATCACACCCTGGGACAACAGGGACGCCTGCTTCGACTGCAATAGCACGGGCACGATGTTTCAGTCCGAGATCAGCCATTTGTTTTGGAGCTGGCCCAATCCATATCATGCCCTTCTCTTCAACAGCAGTAGCAAACTCGGCATTCTCAGAGAGGAAGCCGTAGCCAGGGATGATGGCGTCAGTCGAGGATTGAGAAGCCAGCTTCAGTATCTGATCCATATCCAGATAAGTCTCAGATACTGAAGACCCTTCAAGTTTGAGAGCGATATCAGCTTTGCTAACATGTGCGGCATCTGCGTCTATCTCAGAGTAGATGGCAACAGCACGAAGGCCCATTTTGTGAATCGTCTCGATTATACGAACCGCAATCTCGCCACGATTGGCTATAAGGATTGTTGAGATAGCACGCTTAGAAACTCCGTTTGTCAACGATTTGATCTCCTTCTTGAGAGAAGCATGATATGCTCGCCAGCCACCGTGGCTGGTGATATCGACAGCTTCATCGAAGCCGCAAGGCTCACATACGAACCCCTTCACCCATGATCCATCTTTGAGTTCGATCGAACCGATTGCAAGAGGAGGAGGAATTGTGAGCATGAAGCTCGCCAGGGAGGTCTTGGGAAGGTTCCAGACTTCGACCTCGATTTCTGCGCCTTCATCGGCGGAGACTCGCCTCAGACCTGGCTTCTTGGGACCGACTGTTGTGTTGAGGGAGTACAGTCGATAAGACGATGATGTCTTCGTGGCACGGAGAAATCTTCCACCACGAGTCGCTACATCCTTGTTGAGAGGAAACCCAGTGAGATGCGCACCAACAACAGCAATGGGGATGTAATTTGATGGGATCGATGATATTGAAGTAGGAGACTCGCGAGCGCTTACACCGGTCGCACCCAGCAACCTTTCTTCGCTACCAAACCACTCCCGAGCCCAAGATAGAAGAAATGGCTCTTGCCAACGAGTCGAGATGAGCGTCACACCGAATGGAAGACTATCTTGCCGAAATCCCACAGGGATAGAGAGCGCCGACCAGTCCAGAAAGTTGACGAAATTCGTATAAGTACCTAAAATCGAATTCTCCTCCACCGGGTTCTTGACGAGCTCATCAAGCGTGGGGAATGTTGGAGACGTGGGTACCAAGAGACCATCAAACCGAGCAAATTCCCTCTCAATTTGACGTGTAAGTTCCTGTCGAAGGTATTCTCCCTCAAAGACATCTGCTGCTGAAAGGGTCTGGGCTCTGATGATAATCTTTCGCACGACAGGATCCATTTCTTCAGCAGCGGCACTCTCGATAAAGCCCCGGATGGCTTCGTACCGTTCTGCAACCCACGGGCCGTTATACAAGAGCCGCGCAAGTCGAA